AAAGAAAGAAAGAAAGAAAGAAAGAAAGAAAGAAAGAAAGAAAGAAAGAAAGAAAAGCAAGGGAAGCTGTTAATGTTTTCAAATAGGTTTCTGACATTTCTGCATTGAGGGCATATGCCTCAGAGATAATTTTATGTCCCACCAAAACAGATGTCTTTTTCTCATTTCTTTTGCATCCTGTACAAAAGAGGTAAGGCTGAAACCAGGAAATGAAAGAGAAAGATCCTGGACATGGGAATTTTCCTCCCGGCTCATTCTTTGCAGTGGTGTGGAACGCAATAGTGACGTGTCCCAAAAGGTGACGGTCCTTTCTTCCTGCTGCTTCTGATATGCGCAGGGGTTGCTAGTTACTCAGTATTTCCATGGTCTTCTCAGCTCACTTATCTTTACGAACTGTTTCTCGGTCTGAAAGGAAACTGACGTGGCCAGTGGCAACCGAAAATCTGGTTCGCTCATGGGAAGGAGGGGGAAACACCCTTTTGGGAACCCCTCCAGCCAGAGATGCTCTTGGCAAGAGCAGGAGCAGAACAGCTCAAGAGCGAGCTGCAGACCAGCCCAGCTGGTCTCACATCCCACTCACCCCACAAGGGTGTCTGAGCTGTTTGACTCAGAGTAACCTCCAACCCTCTGACGGGAAGAAGGGAGGAAGCCAGATGGAATGTGAGCAAGCGCGCACATCCTGCCTCCTCATTGGCTGAGTGGGGATGGTGTGTTCCACACACCCGTCTCCTCTGCCGTGCCACACTTCTCTCTCCACCCTCCCCATTGCATAACTTTGCCAGCTTTAACTGTTTCTCTTCCTGGGGAAAGGAAGGACGCCTGCTGTTTGCTCAGCTGCAAAGGAGAATCAAAGTCAAGAGGGAACTCAAGCTGGCCATTGGTCTAAGTCAGGGTTTCTCAACTGTGGCCACTTGAAGACCGGCGGACTTCAACTCCCAGAATTCCCCAGCCAGCATACGCCAGTCCACCCGTCTTCAAGTGGCCACGGTTGAGAAACCCTGGTCTAAGTGCAATGCAAACATGTTGAAGGAAAAGCTGAGAAGCCACCCTGTCTCTGCTGCTGGTGCATTAATCCTCTTCTTGTTGCCACAATGAGCATTTATTGCCACCGAAGCTTTGGGCGAAGCCAAGCCACTTCTGTTAAATCCATGGAAAAAAGCTGGAGAAAAAGTTGTGGGTGGGGAAGGCCAGAGCAAAGGTAAAGAGCTAGCAAATTATCTTTTTTCAATGGGCACCTAGGACAAACTACAGGGACGCAAAAACGACAACACGTGCTTCACAATTTCACAAAGCAAGTTCCAGCTTCCGTACTTGTGTTCTGAGGTGAGGTACAAGGATGCAAGTCACAGGGTTTGTAGAGAGAAGTCGCAGCACACGTTGGGTCAATTTCCCCCGAAAGATGCCTGTTCCTTCCTTCCCCTTTCACGCCCAGCCCAACAATTGGCCTTTTCTCCTACATCTGATGAAGTAGACTATAATGCATGAAAGCTCAGGGAATAATAGAAGAGCTGAAAATGCTGGCTAGCATAACAACAGCTTGGAAACTTTTCATCCTAAAGTCTCCCATCTAGCAACTGTTGGGAGAAGATCAACACAGCTGCCAGTGATCCACCGGCTAGATTTACTTCTTGCCTTTCCTTCAGGAGCTCAAGGCAATGTCCACAACAGTGCAACCTCCAGTTTCAACTTCCCACAACAAGAAAGGCCAGACCAGCAACCAGATTCATACAACATGCTGAATGGGGTTACTCAACTAGCCCATTTTCTGGGTTTGCATCACACATAATATCTTGAGCTCTACACTAACTCAATGGCCTGAGCACTCAACTAGGCACATATCCACCCACAAAACCTTAACCAAGTTAGCCGGTTGTGCAAATGTCACCCCTGAGTTTCCACAGGCTGGATGTCTACCCCATCCTAGTCTGACCAAGTAGCAAGCTGCATTGGCTTTCTCGTAACTGTTGCAGAATCCTTGCACCCTACAAAAGAGTGTGAAATATACGGATCGCATGCCCCCGCTTGCCTGCCCACTCTGAGCCTCTCGCTCCTGGTGATCTCTTACATGGAGTGAGCGAGTATCTCAGACAGAACATGCACAAGGGAGGGGCAGACCAACTTTCAAGAATGTCCATCTGAAGCCGCTGCAAAACTTCACACGGCTTGACTGCAGAAAGAGGAGGAGAAAAACCGAGCTGGGGGGCATTCAAAAGCTATAGGGTGCAGCGTGCATCATCAGGCAGGGAGGAGGCCCCACAGAGCACGTCCTACATGGGGATCTACTTCGGAATCAACGTGCACCAGGGTGTACTGCAGAGCTATGGACGGACATAATCAGAGGCATGAGGACACGACCTCCTGAATCTTCTTGCATCAGGGGACGCTAAATTTAGCTGCTGATAAGGGGGCTGTTTCAATCCTTCCAGAGAAAGCAACTCTGCTAGCAACTGCCCTAGGCAAACTCCAAGAGGGCAAACAATTGTGCAGGAAGGCACTTCAACACAACACAGCACATCACACACACACCCCTGCGTTCCTCAAGCACAGGGCTTCCAACAATTTCAGCTCAGCAAAACCTCCAAAGACGCAATCAAACAGACATTTGATTGCAATGAATTATATTCTTGCTTGCTACTGTAGTGGTCTCTCCCACATCTCTGGGGCCTTCAGTACAGTTCCCATCAATCCCAGCCAGCATGCCCAGTGATTTGCGGGGTAAATGTGAAGGCTGCTGCCAACTAAGATACCTGGAAGGCACTGGGCAAAGCAGACTTAAGAGATTCTCTGTCTGGATCCGTACCACATGCAAGCTAAGCTAGGCTAAAATAGGGTCAAGGTATTTGTGATTTAGCAACCCAACCATTATCTTGGTAGATTATGTGAACTTGACCAGTGTTTCTCAACCTTGTCAACTTTAAGATGTGTGGACTTCAACTCCCAGACTTCCCCAGCCAGCCATGCTGGCTGGGGAATTCTGGGACTTGAAGTCCACTCATCTTAAAGTTGACAAGGTTGAGAAACACTGAACTAGACCATCATGGTAAAACATAATACATTTTTGTTAGGGGAGGAGGGTTGCATATTATGGGAACCTAGAGACTGTGTTTGATTCACGTGGGCTTACCGTGATTGTCTGAACCCAGAGTCCGGAAAAACATTTGCAAGAATATCTTTCAAAAGATTCTCTAAAGCTTGGTTGAATGAAGTCCTTTATTCCTGTACTATTCCTCTTTGCTCTTATAATCTTTTCCTTTTAAGAGCGAATCTATGCCTGGAGGGCATACATGACTCTACCCAGAGGACTGAATAATTCCAGCCAGTTATTAAAAATTCCTGATTCATTGGCCTAACGGTGGAAACCTCATGCTTCTGAAACCAATCCAGTTCGCAGCCCTGAAAATATCTGACCACTTGACTGATAACTAAATCCACATGCTGAATGGGCAAGTCCTCCAATGGCCAATTGTTCTGAACTATCAGTTTTAATTACATAGAAGTGAATTAAATCAACTCAAATGTTGACTGCCTTGGCCTCAAGCAACAATTTTTTTTGGATGCAGCCCTAGAGTATGACTAACGTTCAAATGTAACCTAGAAAACACAGTACACTCCTATTTTATAATATCTTGCTGAGGTTTTCATGCTCATATTTCTCTGCCTTTGATTTCTAATCTTTACACCTTTTACAGACATTTCAGGGTAGACATCAGAACAAACTTCCTGACTTGGAGGAGCTGTCAGTGGAAGGCTGTCCATGAAGTAGAGCAGTGTTTCTCAACC